ATCTTTTTTAATCGTTTGCAAGTGCAAACAGGTGAGAACAAGTTTTTCATTTATATGAGCTTTTCATTTATATGTGTGGCATGACCATGGAAAGAAGGCAGGCAGATAAACTAATGTTTATGATAGTTCACTTGTCAGATTCAATGCTTTAAAAAATCAGTCTGAAAAATGAAAGCCACAGATCTGGAATCAAGAAGAGTACGCTAAATCCAATTTTAATCCCAACTGGAATAGATTTGTGGAAATAAATGGAACTTCTTAGTCACCATTTATGTAAGTTCCATTGATATCAGTGGATATAATGCAAGGACTGAAATAGTCTAAAATTGAATTTAGCCAGACTAACATTTATTTTCTGTCAAAACCTGAAGCAGACAAATTTCCTTAAAAATTCTCCTTTGCAAGTCATATTGACTGCTTGTGAATGCTGTTTCTATCAGCACTGAAAGCATATGGAAACTGTTAACTCCCCCCTCATCCAGTATTAGAATTGCTGTCCAAATTATACACCCTTCTCCACAACTGTTATTAATATATTTGTTTAAAAACATATACAGTGGTGCTTCATTTAACGACAAATTTGCTTAGCGATGGCTTTTTCGGAGCGATCTTGCGCTCCGTTTAACGATGTTCCCTATGGGCAATTTTTGCATAGCAATGTTTGGGACCATGCTTCGCATAGCGATGACAGTTTGGGTCCCCCTGTTTCGCTTAACGATGGTTTTGACAGCCTCATGTTGGCTGTTTTTTATATGTTTAAAATGTTTTAAAATGTTTAGAATGCTTGAAATCATAAGTGCACTTAATAAACCCTTTGTTAAAGTAATTTGACTTTGTTCCGACTGTTTTTAAATTTGTTGTAATTCCCCCCCCCATTGAGATGCATTGAACAGGTTTCAGTGCATTTCAATTGGGGAACCGTGTTTTGCTTAGCGATGTTTCCTATGGCGATTTTCGCTTAAGGACGGCAATCCGTTCCCATTGGAACTGATTATCCGGTTTTCAGTGCATTTCTATGGGAAACTGCGTTTCGCTTAGCGATGTTTTCCCATAGCGATGATTTTTTTGGGAACCAATTAAAATTGTTAAGTGAGGCACCACTGTACACGGGCGCTTGTTTGGCTGGATCCATTTATGGAAACCATTTTGTGCAAAACAATTTGCCTGAACAATCCATTTGTTAAGTAATGTGATGGCAAATGAAAAGAAGTATGTCATGAACTTAAAAATACAGTAAAAAGCCAGATAAATGCAGGGAGGAAAAAGACAATGGTAATATTAGTCTCAAGTTCAAAATGATGCCCTTTTGTTGCTGCTAATGAGACAAAGGGACTGTCCAGATGGTTATATAGACTGTGGTATGGATTGCAGTTGGTGCAATTCTGTTTGATCAAATTACAGCAACCAAATACATTTCCACCTAGATTGATTCGTCCTGACCCTCTAAGACAGTGGTCCCCAACCTTTTCTGAACTGTGGACCGGTTGGGGGTGGGGTCCATGCGCATGGGGCCGGGGCACCCCATGCTCACGGGTGGGTGGGGTGCACTCACAGATGGGCAGGGTGTGCTTGCAGGGGATGTGCTCATGGGGGCACACTTGTGTGCATGCACTGATGGGCAGGGCGCACTTGCAGGTCGGCGGGGTGAGCTCATGCGGATAGGCAGAATGCATTCATGTGCAGGTCAATGGGGCACCTGTTTGTGCAGGGGATATGTGGGGGGGAGTCAATGCAGGGGGGGCCAAGAGATCTGTCTCCATGGTCTGGTCCTGCCGGGGATGTGCTCATGGGGGCACACTTGTGTGCATGCACTGATGGGCAGGGCGCACTTGCAGGTCGGCGGGGTGAGCTCATGCGGATAGGCAGAATGCATTCATGTGCAGGTCAATGGGGCACCTGTTTGTGCAGGGGATATGTGGGGGGGAGTCAATGCAGGGGGGGCCAAGAGATCTGTCTCCATGGTCTGGTCCTGCCAAGGCCATGGAGGCCAGGAGATCTGTCTCCATGGTCCGGTCCTGCCAAGGCCATGGACTGGCACCTGGCCATGTACCAGAAGTTGGGGACCCCTGCTCTAAGAGTTGTCCTGCTCCTTTCTAACACAGTACTGGGAGTGTCTTTTGAGGGAAGGTATGATTCAGCACACTCCTAATTATCCCATTGTGTAGTCTGTGCAGATGGATATTTCACACCAAAAACAGAGCTGTGAATGTTATACAAGATGACAAATCTGGGACATAGTGACTGCTTGTCGCATTAAAAGGGAAGACTCTGTTTTTAACTTATTTTTTAAAAAAACACAGTAGCCCCCCCTCCATCCGCAGCGTCAGTATCTACTGATTTACTTATCTGCTGCCTGAAAATGCTAAATAAAAAACTCCCAGAAATATGTATTTATATGTATTTCCAGAGTATATTTACCATCCACTAGAGGGAGCCGGATACCATGCAATGTAAAGCATTTGATAGGTAAAGGTAAAGGTTCCCCTTGACATTTTTTGTCCAGTCGTGTTTGGCTCTAGGGGGCGGTGCTCCCCCCCGTTTCCAAGCCACAGAGCCAGCGTTTTGTCTGAAGACTATCTTCCGTGGTTACATGGCCAGTGCGACTTAGACATGGAATGCTGTTACCTTCCCACTGAGGTGGTCCCTATTTATCTACTCGCATTTGCATGCTTTCGAACCGCTAGGTTGGCGGGAGCTGGGACAAGCGACGGGCGCTCATTCTGTCGCGTGGATTCGATCTTATGACTGCTTGGTCTTCTGACCCTGCAGCACAGGCTTCTGCGGTTTAGCCCGCAGCGCCACCACGTCCCTCAAGCATTTGATACTTCCACATTTTTTCAGCATGGGTGGGGGGGCACTTAGAACTGATCCCCCATGGATACTGTGGTCCTACTGTATTTCCCTAACTGATGGAGCACAATTCTAATACATACCATGTTAGGTTGAAGCATTACTGTTTTAATATTCCACTTACTTTATTAAACAACAAAGGAAAATCACTGGGACCAACTATTATGGTTGCAAGAAAAGGTCGGGAAGGGAGCTATGTCGACTCCATTGTCTCCACCCCCACAAGGTAGTGCAAGGCCAACAGAGCCCGGGCTGAGGAGAAAGGCAGGGATAAGGGGGAGTTACCTCCCTTCCGTTCCCCCAATGTTCACCCCAATGTTTTCCCCTTGTTCCACTCCTGTCCTTGGCTGCTGTCTCCTTATTCAAGAGTAAACCTGGTAAACCTTGCTTGTGAGTAAACAGACAATCTAAAGACCAGTGTGGACCATTCTAACAGGAGAATAAACATCTCTAGTGTGAATGGAAGGATCCCTAAAATGAGATATAAAATAGATTGTACTGGAGGTATCGTTTTAAGTGTGAACCAGACCACTCCAAATTCCCCTGTCTGAACCACATACCCTTTCTAAAGACATCCTATGCACCTAACCCTTCCATTCCTCCCAGATCCAAAGGCATGGCTTCTGCTGCTATCCAGTTCTCTTCCTTCCTTCCTTTTTTGGCATGCTTTTCTGAAAGGAGCTGATCTGTAGGAAGAGGGACCCTTGTACATCCATTAAAACCCTGGGAGACAAAGCTTTTGTCCGGCAAACAATGTCTTGAGGAAAGCAGAGTGAAGTGTGACAAATGGGAGTGGAAGAAAGGATCCATTTCCACAGATCTTTTTCAATTGCCGTTTCTGACAATTTGTTGAGCGACTGAAGTACTATTGACTCTTTCACCTTTATTGAAATAAATTTTGTTCAGAGCTCCTTTTCTCTCTTTTTCAGCTTCCTCGGCTTCTGCTAAATGCTACAACTTCCTTTAATACGGCCTCTGCAGGCAGCCATGTCAGGTCTACTTGACCTTTTTGCCAGTTCTATGATTTCCATACCCTTTCACTTTTATTTCCATATAATCATCTCAAATATATCAGTAGAAATGAATGCCATGCATTTGGTGAATACATGTATAAGATTAAAGCATTCCTACACTCTTGTCAAAATTCCTGAATGTATGAATAAGGCGTTCTGAAGGCACAAAGGGCCACCAGATGCCTAGCTGCACTTTTCTGCAGTGCAACAGATTTTTCCATGGGAGAACTTATGGATGCACCCATATTTCTGGGATGTTCAGTGGGTTCTGTCAGATAACACTGATGATACTGAAGCATAAATATTCTACTATGTAAGAATACACCTCACCTAATTCTGTCATTAATTGTTTTTGTTTTAAGGTATGTAGAAAAGTTGAAGACTGAAAAGAACTAAAAAAATCATAAAATCTGATCTTTTACGATAATAGGCAAGATTTTCTTTACCTTCACTTCTTAGATTATTTATTTATTTATTTCAAATATTCCCCCCCACCTTTCTCCTTAAAAGGACCCAAGGTGGCTTGTTACAATGTGTTGCTTGTAACAGTGTGGGGCTTTTCAGAATTTATGAAAGTCTTCATTTGACACCTCCTTGCGCAAGTGTAACCCTTTGGCTTGTAATGGGGGCAATCTCTAGCTTGATGGGAAAGCAAACTGGCGATAGTGGGAACTTTATGGGCAGAGCAGAACACTATGCCTGGATTCCATATAGGATTCTGACCTACATTTCCCAATATGCCAAAAGTAATTTTCCAACAGTGCAGTCTCTCTCCTGCAGAATAGAAATTGCTGCTAATTAAATGGCTTTCACTTCTAGAAGAGTGACAGCGTTGGATTAGCTGGAGTCTTTTTTGCTATTGATTTTTCTTGAACTGAGTACTTGTAGCCCATGGGGTTGAGGTTGTTGGTTTAGTGAGGATATGAATTATAAGGGAAATTCTGAAAATTTTTAGAAGTAAATACTTGAATTAGAATTACAAACCCAAACTGCAATGAAAAGTCTGAGAAATGCATGTTTTGTTTTTAATTGCAAAATATTGCATTTCAGGTTTTGAAGCTAACATGTAGGAATAAAAACATTACATAACTATATACCATATTTCTCTATAAAAACCTTTGCTCTCTTTTTATTTAGGGGTGCTACTTCCATTGTCTACAGGTGCAGGCAAAAGGGAACGCAAAAGCCATTTGCTGTCAAAATTTTGAACAAAAATGTAAGTTAATTTTTAAAAATTCATATTGTGCTGTATGTTCTCTTTGAGATACATTAATTTCTTCCATGTGCAGTAGGACCAAAACAGAATCTCCACCTTCCTTTAATTAATTAAAATGAATGATATGTATAGCAGCAACTTTGGAAACGAATCAGTTCACGCAGAATTATAGCAGTCCTGCTATAGCCTGAAATGAAGAGGTACTGAAGACTAACCGCTGAATCCTGAGTCCTGTCGAAATACAACCAAGAGATGAGGGACGGGTTTTCCTCTGGTAGATCGTGGCTCCTCACTTTAATTTCAGTGGCTGAAATCTTGTTAAGTAACAACATGAGCATGACTGCTACTGATGCCATCGCACCACAATTATCCAGCCATGATTTTTCAATACAGTGGGATCTCGACTTACGAACGGCTCGACATACGAACGTTTCAACTTACGAACCACTCTCATAGGAATATATGGACTCGACTTACGAACTTAGATTTGAGTTACGAACTCTTTTTTGTCCTTTTTTAAAAGCTAAGTCATCTTAGGTTAAAAGGAAAAAAGAAAAAATATCCCCCTCTAGTGGCAGAAGGCAGAATAGCAGCTTCCCATTAGTTTCTATGGACGAAAAGAGCAGATACGGATTAAATGGTTTTCAATGCATTCCTATGGGAAATGCTGATTCGACTTACAAACTTTTCGACTTACAAACTTCCTTCCAATACGGATTAAGTTTGTAAGTCGAGACCCCACTGTACTTAAGTTTTAAAATAAATTAAAGAGTAATATAGTGGCCTGATGATGTCGTCAGCAGTTATGCTAGCACAGTTGTATCAACTGGATTTTAGCCAATGGGAGGGAAAATACGAGTATCAACCAGCATCTGACACAGGTTAGAGGCATGAACCTAGGGTCTCTCTAGGGAAGGAGTGGTGCTGCAAATTAATTTACATATCACACCTGTTTTCCTCATTTGAGTTCAGTAAGCTACTGGAAGCAGAGTTTTCTATGCAGGAGAACAGGAACAAGTCTTAAGACCCCAAAACTGCATGGGAAAGGGTTCGTGCAAAGAAAATAAGGAGTGTTCCTTTAAAGTCAATAATGTTATCTTGGAGTTCATGGTTGACAACCCAAAGCAGCAGATTTTGTAGCACTCTTGAAGGCGGCAGAAAATTACCAATTGTAGGCAGATTCTTTTCTGTTTTTACTATCAGAGGGGTATCTGGATTTTCAGTCTTTAATGCATAGCTCAGAACAGTTTAGTGCTACAGTATAAGAAAGTTGTTTGTATATAGATTATTGCTTTATATATACATTGATTACTGATTTATCCTGAAAATAGCTTAATGGCAGACATGGTTTCACCTTTGTGAGTAGTAGCATTTTGAGAAGTGTCACATATTCTCTAGGGTCCCAAACATTTTATGATATTATAAAAATAGCATTAAGATTAAAAATTCAAAAGAAATACAGTCAGGATTTCTAGAGTTAGTGATTAAATAAGTGTCTGATTTCAAAGTGGTAGCCATGTTAGTCTCTTCAACCATATCAACAAAAAAGAAAATAAAGCAAAAATAAACTAAATATTTAAATAAAGAAGACAAACATGGTGTGGCAACTTAATGATGAGTTGCTCCATTTTAATGTGAGCTTTCATGATACAAATCCACTTCTTCTGACATAAGAATGAGAATACAGAGACTACATGGCAAAACTTGTATACATGAGTCTAAGATAAAGGGTTTGGTTACTAGAGACAAGTTGCAAATTGTGTGATTCATTTTGACATTTCACACCTCGTAATGACTTAAAACCTTTGTTTGATATTCAGTTCTTTTCCTTTGAAGCTTGGTTCTGTAATCAGTGGCAATAGTTAGTGCCTAAAGACCCCAGGCAACAATAACAATAGCAGAAGCAACATATGGTAATGAATTCCCGACTTTACCTTTGCCACTTCTTTTCTAAAGGCAGCTGTGGTAGCTAGGAAGGAACCTGGGCTATGTTAAATAATAGCAGATAAAAGCACAATCATGGTAATATTTCACATTTGGTAATGGCAGAAGAACGCTGGACAGATATTTAATCCATTAAGTTGGGCATTAAGCATATGACTATATTTAACCTGTCTGTCTCTGGATTCTTGTTTTTTAGTTTTTCTTCTCCAGAATAGCAACTGTCAAACTTTCTGAAGAATGTCTGGGTTTAAAACTGACATGATTTTAAACCGGTGTCTGTGTATTGCCATCCCTGATGTCTTATTTATGTCTATTTATTCTTCTGCATAGAGGTTGGCCTGTTTGCCCCATGGAGAGTGCAGAGGGGCATTGTTGACGAAAGGCGGTATAGATCACATTAGCAGAGGAACAAGTGATTCTTCTGCATAGAGGTTGTCCTGGTTGCCCTATGGAGAGTGCAGAGGGGCATTGTTGACAAAAGATAGTATAGATCGCATTAGCAGAGGAACAAGTAAAAGTGTCGTTGATATTGTGTGGGACATTGTTGAGTTCTGTAATCATGTTGGCAGAGTAAATGTGGGGACAGAGCTGGCATCTGGGTTTCTAGTCCGGCATGGTTCTCAGCACTGTATCTGTGTTGTGTGTCAATCCTTGCTTGAAACTGTGAGTTTGCCTGTATTCAAGTTTAGGTCTGCTGCCAAGGGCTTGGGAGAATGAAGCCATTTTGTCAAGGGTGGCCTGGAGATAATTTATGATGTATGTGAGTAGTCTCAGTTGTGGGCTGAAAGTGACAGTGATGTTTGGTAGTTTTCTCTTTTGGGTCTGTCTTGCAGTAGGTTGCTCCTGAATATTTGTCATGCCTGGTTAATTTCTCCCTTAACGATTTTGGATATATTTTATAGTGTGAGAAATGCATTTTGTAGATCCTTAAGTTTGGAGTTTCTATCTTGGGGGCCTGAGCAGAGGTGATTATTCCTGAAGACTTGGCTGTAAACCAGGGGTTTCCAAACTTTTTACAGTGAAGGCCGCACCAGGTAGTTTCAAAGTTTTTGAGGGCCGAAGGAACAGGAATGTGTGCAGCATGTTTTAATCCCTGATTTCCACCCTCCTCCATATGCTATATGGCCTCTTTTGGTTTTTTTCTCTTTTTGTCAATATTTGTTTTCCTACTTTGCAAAAACTAAACCAATAAACTAGAATAACCTATCAAAAATATTTTTTTCTAAATTATTGTAATTTTGAGCCATTCCTAGTGTTGTCTTGCCATTTCTTTTAAGGATTGATTTATAGTGAGTTATTTTACTTTCTGCACAATAACAGCATAACCCTTTCAGGCATGAACAAGGAGAGCTTTATCACTACAACACCTGCCTGCATCACTTCAGTTTCACTGCCTGGCCACTTTTTCTCACTTCAGGGTAAAAGGTTGATTTGAAAGCAGGATCTTCACTAGAAGTTTCTGACAGGACTTTGAAGGTGCTATAGAGTCTTGACTCCAAGTAAATAATGACCTCAAAGGAAAATATAACATTTTATTTACTTTGACCATGACAGCTTTTATAATTTTAGTTCAAAATATAGCCTTTTTGTAGGGAGGGGTCATCTTTACATTATTACTGAAGCATGAAATTCTCTTCTGGTTTCTAATCTAATCAGTAGTGCCTCCAACAAGTAAAATCAGTGGCATTATCCTTCTGTTTCCTGAATTGGCTGCTATTTTATAGATAGAGTAGTACAATTTCTGGCATTTCCACCTGGCCCATTCAACTGGAAGTGCAAGGAATTGCAACTACGACTTTTTGCCTATAGAGGTTCTGTTACATAGCTTGCATGCAATGAAACTGATTAGTCAAAGAAGCTGTGGGACAGAAGCAGGAAATCTCTAATTGTCCAAATCCCCCTTACTGCTGGTGACATCATCACGTTTCCTGATGTGTAAGGGGATCTTGGTTGCTGACTGGTAATTTGCTTATGAAAATCTCATTGAATCACTGAGATGAGATGAGACAAACAATAGGAGGTAACCATAGTGTTTAAAAGTAATTTATAGTGATTAAACCTGGGACTTTCTGGATGTAGACATTCTGGAACTCTAGTCTCCTTTTTGTGTGAAACTAGTAACAGATTATGTGTAAATACATGTAAACACTTTGCCCTCTCTCTTTTTTAAAAAAGCAGTTGGGGATGAAAATTAGGAGTAGAGTAGCAAAGCATGATAAAAATTATCTGTGTTTACACCTTCTCTGCTTTGCCTCAAGCACAAAATGCTTTTGCTCTACATGAGTTTTTATACCTAGAATCCTGATGCTCATGCTTGGCAATGCAAACAAAAAGCAACAAGATATTGCTATAACAAACTTCTGGAACAATAGAACTATGTGGTGCAGTGGTTAAACTGCAGCACTGCAGTCAAACCTCTGCTCACAACATGAGTTTGAGCCCAATGGATTCAGGTGGCCAGCTTAAGGTGGACTCGGCCTTCCATCCTTCTGAGATTGCTAAATTGAGTAGCCAGCTTGCTAGGTGGACAAAGTGTTGTTTGCATAATTATGTTATAAACTCCCAAAGAGTGCTCTAGCACTTTGAGGCAGTATATATGTCTAAACAACAACAGTCAGTAAGGTACAGTATAGTTTTGTACAAGCATTAGAACAATTACAGAAAAGTAATTGATAGTACAAGTTAAGGAGAAAGAATGTGTCACTTTGTTGAGAACAGAAAACACAGCGTTTCTCTCAGGTTTTGCACCATAAACATTGAGGGCTATTGATAGTGGTAACCTTCTGTATCAGTGAAAAATGAGCAAAATTAACCATATTTGGTATTTAGCAAGGAACAGTAGCACTGCACTGTCAGATACCAATAATCATTGTGACCTGAAATGCTCAAAAAACTAATGGTAGCAATTTGAAATGTACATGGAGGATAATAGGCACCTTTTGCAGACATTACTGTATTTTTCTGTGTATAAGACACCCCCATGTATAAAACGCCCCCCACTTTTCTAAATCAAAATTTCTTTCTTTGCAAGAAAGTAGAGAGGAAAAGTGATTCCTGCTTTCCCCCTACATTTTTGTACCAAAAAGCAGCTTTCCACCTCCAAGTTTTGCAAAGAAAATGTAGGGGAAAAGCAGAAATCACAGAAAATGTAGGGGGAAAGCAGGTTTTTCTTTGCAAAACCTGGAGGGGGAAAGGTGCTTTTTGCAACAAAAATGTAGGGGAAAGTAGGAATCACTTTCCCCCTCCATTTTCTCTGCGAAACGTGGAGGGGAACAGGGATCAAAGCACTTTGATCCCTCACCCTCCTTACTTCCGAGTATGGAACAACCCTCAACTTTTCATTTAATTATTTTAGGAAAAAGTGTTATTTTATACATGGAAAAATACGGTAATTCACAAATGCATTAGGAGCCAAATTTAGAGATCAGATACGTTTTTATTTACACAAACCCAGCTAAGCTTGCTGGAGTAAGTGTATCAGAAAGTGTTACTAAAAAAAAAAAAAGAGTTTGCCTTGTCAGATGCTTCCTACTGCTCATTGAGAACATTTGTACAGTGAGCATGAGTGCATTCATTGGGCCAAGGCAAAATGGGTCAGAAAGCCATTCATAGTAATAATGTTTTAGTAATCTATGAACAAAATGTTGTTTCAGGAGTTGCCTGCTGAAGAGCTCTGTGCAACTCTAAAGAAGTTGTATGAAGAAAAGGTACTGCCATATTTCCATGTACATGGTAATAAGAATAGTATTATGTAGCTTCAGGAAATCCTAAATATATGTTTGTTCATGTTTATGAATCCCATAGAACCATAGAAACTTTGATCTGTTCACAGACCAACCTCTGCAAACATTTCTGTCCTCTCTTCGTCAGAGAGACTAATGTGTTCTAATCTGCCACTGGGCGTACTGTTTTTAGTACGTCCATAGCTGCAAGGAAAGCATTGTCCATTAATCTGAATTGATGGACCATTGATTGCAATGATGAAATTTATTTCACCTAGAATTTAAGGGGCCCATTCCTTTTTCATACAAGCTTTATGGCAAGGATAGGGATGGCTTTCCAGATGTTGATGAATTATAATTCCCACCATCTCTCACCATAGGCTATGCTTTCTGTGGTTCATGGGAGTTGCAGCCCAACAACATAAGAAAGACTGTGTATTTCCTAACCCTGACCTGTAGAAATTAATGTTACCTTGGTGGCAGCAGTTGCTTGGGATACTGCTACCTTTGGTTATTAATTCTAGACCATGCTTATATACTTTGTTTGCCTGTAATTCTCTTGAACAAACACTGGAACTTTAAAATGTTTAAGTTGGAGGGTAATTAGTATGTAATCAGGGAGAGCTGAACAAAAAGGACATGGAAATGATTTGAAGGTAAGTCAGTCACTTTTCTTGAACCTCCGAAACGTCTATTCCATTCTATGAAATTGTGTTCATAGTTTATCCTCTGGCAAATTAAGTGTATGAACTGCCTAATGGAATTTTGAACATTGTATGAACTGGAAAGAAAACCTGCTGGGCTTTGCAGAATGTGCTGAAGGCCTGTGAATTAACGTTGTATTTTGTCAAACTGTGTGATGAGTTCTACAAAGACATACAATATTCATCTTAAGTGAAGAGATGGTGGTGGAGAAGCTATGGAAGCTTTAAAAACAAAATGATATATTTTTCATATTCTTTCTCTCTTTTCTTTTATTCACCCTCCCAGCATGTATTCACTACTCTGTTGCTGCAGCTTTTGAGAGCACAGAGCAAATCTTACCTTATGAGAACAGCAGCCTTTCCCCCAAGCATCTAAACAAGAAATAAAAAGTCCTATCTTTGAGCACATTTCTAAAATTAACTCTCTAGCCTTATAAAGTGAGAACCTAAGACATATTAACACTAGTGGGCCACTGCTGTTTTATAGAGGTGAAGCTTGCAGGCACCCAGAAGGGAGTATCTCTTAATGTAATGGCCAGAATCCTGTTACACTGCAGTGTTCTGCAGGCACAACAGAAATAATACCATTGTCAGTGGCAGATTGCCATGGATCAAAGACTTCCTTTTTTCAATTTTGAAGTATGCACACAATGAGCTGAAGTTGTGTGCACCTTGAAATTGAAAAGGGAAGTACAGTACTTGATTAGTGGCAGTCGGCTGCTAAGAATTATATTATTCCCATTGTTCAGCAGAACCCACCCAACAGGATTTTGGCCAATAAAATAAAGGAGAACCTTACTCCACATCTATACCTTATTTCAATGTATGGAGCACAGATCATTTCCACAGATAAATTTTGAACCCCATGTCTCTTGTTATATAATCAAATCTGTCTAAAATAACTGATCATAACCATCTTCCTTTCATTCTTCAGACCTCTTCTTGCCCTAGTCACTGCTTCTCTTCATTTTGTTTTCATGCTTTCCTTTCCTCGTTTTTTATATGTGTGTCTTAATAATGCAGACCTCAGTGTCTCATTTTCCTCTGCTCTTCAGGCCTACCAAGTTTCTCTCGCTTATTGTCATTAGTAGCAGCACTCTACATTCCCAATGCTCCATCATTCCCCTGTCATGTAGCAATAAACTATATTTTGTTTAGACATTAAACTATTCAGGGGCTAAAAAGTATATTGTTTATCGTACTTATTTTACAGGCTCCTCTGTCTTGGTATCACTGGGATGGTGTACGGATAAAAGGTTTTTGGGGCTAAGGGATTCATCAAAATCTGGCCATGCATTTCTAACACATTGGCCAACATCCTGTCGTGCAGCTGTGAAAATGGCATAACTTTTAGACATGAATTGCCATAAGTTAAAAAATGTCCATAGATACTATCTGTTGCACACTGCATCTCGACTCATTATACAACTTGCAGCTGAAAGTTACATTGTTTGTGTAACTTGCAGCAGGATTTCAGCCCTTGAAACAATCTCTGGGTGGTTATGATAGATTGTAAAAAGTATCCTTGTTGAAAGCTTTGCTTTATTTGGACTCCAACATTCAAAATCCCACAGTCTGCTTGGCCACTTTTCTAGAGCTATAGTCACAAAAGTAATGTTTCTTATCTCTGATTGTGTTTACTAAATGATTTGAATTGATTTGAAAATAATTTGAGGAACACAAGCTACATTGCTTGAATGCACTTGAGAACACTCAGCAGTACAATCAAGGCAAAATAGGTTTGATGTGCAACACTATCACAACACCCTGATGCTACTACTTCCCATTGTTCCTCTTCCTTGTTTACCTTTATAACTGTTGAATCAATAATAGTGTATCACTCTTCACATGATATGTTATTTATTATTTATCAAAGGCATTGCTAAAAACTGGAGTGCCAATATTCTTACATTATTCATGCATTATAACAATCTGGCTGCAACAATATCTGAAATTGGTCTGAACATCCTTCTTTTGAAACATTAATAACATGGCTAAACTGCTCCTTTGTTTCTTGTGTTTTCATAATCACACTGTTATTTTGAATTGAAGAGTTTCGTCACAATATCATGTTGGTAGACACTTCTTTCCAGATGTTTACTTTGGATGTACCAGAAGTATATATTAATTTACTCTTTGACTTACGAATATTTTGACTTTACAGGTAATGGAACATACTTCGGTAATATATATTGGTTACTTATCTCTCTGAATTCTCTGTATTTTCTCTTGGGGTGCCAATACTTTATTACTGTATTAATTTCTTAATTTATACTCTGGCCTAAATAGATGGACCAGAATCCTATTGCTTATGTATGCCAGCATTGTTGTAAATGCCAGGGGCAAACTGCCACTTTTTAAGGAGCTGCAACTTCTATTCCTCAACATATGCCAAGTCATATGAACCAGTGCATAATGAGGAATGTAAGTTCCAATTCACTGCTGTGATTTATGCTGTTGCACTTCTACTCGTACAAATAAGCAGTAGGATTATAATGGAAGTGGATCTTTATAAATTTTGTAGTCATTTATTCCTATTAAATATGCATGGAATTATGCCAGTAATAAATCCTAAAAGTAAAACCGCCAGCAAATTATTACATACTTTTCTTTTAACCAGGTAGATAAGAAGATTGTCCAAACCGAAATTGGTGTTCTGCTTCGACTTTCACATCCCAATATAGTAAGTAAGATTTTTAAATATCCCACAAATAAAATTTGTACTTGCTTGATTGCCTGCATATGATTGCCTAGAGTAGTCCACCACGAACATAAAATTTGTATTTGCTTGATTGCCTGCATATGGATATGTTGCAGTGCTGCCTCACACAATAAATTTTTCAGTGCTGAGATACAAGAAAAACAGGAAGCTCTGCTTTTGCATCCATATCACAAAAATCAATTCAAACACTGCAGTTAACAAAGATCAATATTTCTTGTTCAACTTAATAGTTGGGCAAAGGATTCATAATAGATTATTAATATATCTTCCTCTTTTTTTCTTAAGCCATTTTTAAAATGTTCATGCCCTCACCCAAAATGGTTTCTACTGGTTTTCAATAGATTCCAAGGGATGATATTGAGAAGAGAGTATTCAAAACATGCTGTATTTTACACTGGGCTGCTGCTCAATGGTGTAGCGAAGGCAGGGGTGGCAGGGGCAAAGACCCGGAGCTTTTAGTGTAGTAGAGACTACGACACAACCCACAACTCCCCCAATGCTTCCCTGTTTCTTCTGAGCTTAGCTGCAGTTTTCAGAGTGCTTGAGAGACAAATAAATCTTCCTCAGAAAAGTACATTGTTGCAAGCTGTTCTTGTTGTAATCCAAAGTACTTCATCATGGTTTGGTCCTTAATAGAGACGGGGGTATTCATATACAAATACCCCCACACAGGTAGATATAATGAGGGTCCAGCTGCCTGGGGCTGGACTGTCCACCCCCCCCTTCCACTGCTGCCGCGTGCTCTGCGGTCCCTTCGAATCATTCCAGAGCGCCCAGTCTGTGAGCCACTCTTTGACCTGGCAGGGAGGCTCATCGTCCCGCCTCCTGCCAGGAATGACCAGCTGACCGCAAGCGCCAGAGCAATAAGAAGGGAGCGCAGAGCCCGCAGCAGCAGCGAAAAGGTGAGTGAACAGTCCCTCATTATTTCCACCTGTGTGGGGGTATTTGGTATATGAATACCCCCATGTCTAGTGCTTAATGAGCAGTTAAGAGACGTAAAATTTACAAAAGACCTGCTCCTCTTTCATTGTAATGGACCAATTCAGCTGCTGTTTGTTTGGCTTCTTCACATGGGGGATGGCTATGGGATTGTATAATGAGCACCTGCATTTCCATTTTTGCTGCTATACCACTGCTGCTGATGTGTCAGAATATACAGATTATAAACTGCATAAACGATTTTAGGAAGGGTTTCGGTTTAGAAAATGCTCAATCAAATGAATGGGATAAGTGATATATCCACCTCTCATTATAAATTCATTATAGCTAGCCTTATATTATATACACGCTGTGAAAAGGGAAAAATGGAAAATTCCTTATTTTGTACCTTTCTCAGATAAAACTGAAGGAGATATTTGAAACCCCTACAGAAATCAGCCTTGTCTTAGAGCTGGTCACAGGAGGAGAGCTGTTTGACAGGTAGGTGAAGTATGGAAAAGTATGCTATGTATTACAGAGAAAAATTATCACTTGGAAGACTCTTGCAGTAAAGTGGGATATAGCTCTGTGTTGATTGAGTGGGAAAGCAAAAGCTAAGAATTATGTGGTGGGAGTTCAGCCATAGTGCACTGTCTTTATTTTGAATACACTCTACTGGAGCCTTCACTGGTGATGACTGACCAGGAATCCAATCTTTGGGATTGTAATGGAGAACTTGACAAACATATCAATTGACAGTGGAGCAGCTATGAAAAATTTTGTGCTGGGGATCATTTAGAAAGGAATAAAGAATACAGTTGCCGATATCTTTAGACCTCTGTATAACTCCATGGTGTGATTGCATTAGGAATATAGTGAACAGTTCTGATCACTACTTTGAAATAGATATTATAAAGCTGGGAACTATGTAGGGGGAAAGGAGCAAAAATTATCCAGAGGCTGAGAAACTCTGTTATGAGGAAGATACTTCAGGACTTTTCACCGTAGAAGAAAGACAGGTTCATGATGAAAGTGTATAAAACTCCTCCGTGATTGGGAAAAGGCTTTCTGATGTTTATAAATCATCCAGCAAAGTGAGCAGTGGAAGCTTCAAAACAGAGAAAAGGACACCACACATAAAGTACAGTATGGAATCCATTTCCAAAAGATGTAATGAGGGTCATCAATTTGGATGGCATTGAACAGGGATTAAGCATATTTTGTACAAGTATCTGTCGATCCTACAAACTCCATCTTTGCCATGCTGCTGTTTCTTTCCTGGATTCGTCTTCAGCCGTACTCTTTTTCCTGTCTGTATTTTTTCAGTCCTTCTGACAAACTTAGACTGTCATTCCTTCTACAGATCCTTACTTAAACTTCAGCTGCTGAGAATGCTGACCTTGTCTTCTTTCCTGCCTATAATTTCTAGGCTGGCTGTACACCTGGTGCTCCCTAAACCCAAATCTGTGCAGACTTGCTAGAATGTAGGTCTGATTGTCAACATTTGAAATTATGTGTCTATAAGAAAGTAAAAAATGATTAAGTGGGTTTGGAAAAAGTTGCCCTGAAAGTAAAAGTATGTTTTAAAATATGGCTTGGGAAATAGTTTATATTAGTTATAGTTGTTTTCAAAACAATACACTATTCTGCTTTCCATTGAAGTCTGGGAACAAGGTCAATAATATAACATTGCTTTGAAGAATTTCATTCATGTCTGCCAGTTTATTATGGAAGTAAACTAAAGATTACAATGATGTAATGGGCAGGCATGTTGTATTCCGTATGTCTTTATATGAAAGTGGTGTTTGTAGGTCGTATAATATTCCCTACTGGTGACAGTAATAGTTTAATCTTGCAATGGTCTAGCATCATGGACATTTGATACAATAAAGTTTTGTTGGTCTAGGACAGTGGTTCGCAACCTTGGGATCTTGGACTGCAACCCTCAGAAGCCTTCACTACTAGGTGTGCTGGCTGGGGTTTCTGCGAATTGTTGTCCAACCACTGGTCTATGGGCTTATATTTATGGTATGGATTATTGGAGTTCTAGAAACAACGATGAAAAGCATAATAATGGCAATTAGCCAAATATGAAATTGCAGAGCCCTAGAGCCACAAAGATTGCAGAGCGACAAAGAGTGCAGGAACAATTTATTTTCCCATTTTAAAAAATTGCTGGACCTCCAGTACTCTAGAATGTACAGACCCGGCAGATAAGATTTGTTTACAGACAAGGAGGAAGTGAAAACTACTTAAAGAGTTATAAATCTGTGTAGGTAGGACACAGGCACACAAGTAATTCATTGCATCATCACAATTTCATGCTGCTTTTGGTACTGGACATCAAGCACATCAGCAGGCTTCATTTTCAGATGGTAGAAAAAACTGTCAATATGAATTTTGCTCTTAGGCTTTAATTGGTTTGGCTGAGTGAGCACATAGAGCAATTTTTCTGTGTGTGCTAATAATATGCTTAAATGCTAAGAAAGTTATTTTCTTTAATATATTTTTACTTTTAACATATTTGGTATTTATAATATGCTTTTAATACAGCTAAAGATTACCTGAAGTTACAATTCATTTACTTTTCACTGATGTGTAACTTAAGACATCCTTTTTGATATACTGTATTAATGTACTCTTACTCCTGTATTTTGGACTGAATTCTGACTTAAATATTTGCCTAGAACTTTAGTTTTAACACTTGCATCTTTTTACAAGTTACAAGGAATGATATTTGTGCCTACAGTTTTCTCTATAGCTTGTTGTATTTTACAGCTCTAAAGTATTTTGTCCATATCTACATAGAAGCAATCTACATGAATAAAGCTTGTTGAATTCGACAAGCTGGTGTTGCCTGAAATTAGTGCAACAGTGAAAAGACTTATATCTTGATACTGAGATGAATGTTGATATGATTGTCAGTGATTGTTTGACTTCATTCTGGAATTAACCCTTAACTGGAATAAATGCAACCTGTGATTATCACAGGCTTCTCATTTTTTACCAGGAAGTTTAAATTTCTGTAGAACTCCTAGGGAAGATCAAGGTGCCTTAGGTCCTTTTGAGGAGAAAGGCAGGGAAAATATTTTAGATAAAATAAATTTTAAAAAATAAGTATCTGACATGATGGTATGAACAACTGTTGTCCTTTATGTGCTCTTCTTTTCTCATCTCATGTGCAGTACTTAACAATATACTACTGCCGGTTGTTTGAATTATTTCATCTATCTTGGTGAGGACAGGGGCGTAAGGGCTATACGTATGGCACAGTGTTTCAAAAATATAGGAAAGTTGCCTCATACTGAGCCAAACCATTAATCCATCTGCTTCAGTGTTGTTCACACTGATTTGCAGCTGCTTTCCAGGTGCTGGGGCAAATATTTTCCCTGCTCTATCTGTAGATGCCAGGAATTTAAACTGAGACTTTCTACATGCAAAACTAGGTTACAGTTCTCCCCCATGAAGCTTACAGTGAGATTCTTTGCCATTCCCAGCCTAATCTGTATCACTTGCCTATTTCAACAGAATAAAATGTGGAAAGGGAAATTGCGAATGTCATTTTAGATTCCTTGGAGGAAACAAGGGACAAAAATATTATAAATGAATAAAACAAATGGCATGCTTCTTCCTTTCTAAGGATTCTCATGTATAACCCACATAAAATGCCATCTTAACCTAAGGAAACATATTATATGGATTATGGCAAAGTTTCATACCTCACACACTGCAATATGCTGACAGGAGTGAACAACACACAAAACACCCTGCTTATATCAGGATGTCAGATAGGTTTATTATTAGTTGAAGGTCAAGAGAACAATAGTGAGTAATGAGCAGAGAGAACTTTAGAAGACGAATTTAGGAAGATTGCCAGCAAGTCCATGTGGCCAGATCTCCAGGGAGGGGGTAAGGAAGAAACAGATGGATGGTTGATAGGAAAGGAAATGAGAGCTAGAATATCTAATCAGCAAGAAAACATAGAGCTGCATCATTAGCATGCTATGCATGTAAAAATTAGCCCATTTAAACATTTTACATTGGAGTTTTTTTCTGCCTGCAGTACTATAAGACCCTAGAGATAAAATATAGTGGTAATCAGGTCTGTATTTCTTGGTGTTGAAGAGCACGTAGCAGAGAATTCTTTGTTGTTGTTTTTTTAAATTTCCTGGTGCTGTTAAACCAAGGGGTCCCTTAGTTTAGAGTTCTGTGGCCCAGTTTCACAGACCCACTTAGATATATGGGGGGTTATTTTAGGAAGAGAATGAATGTTCATATGTGTTTAGATGTGGAACCAGAGGCAGTACAGATAGAAAAACGCTGGCTATTTCAGTTGTATCAGATCAGTGCTGTGCCAGTTCTGCTGGCTTCCATTCTATTTCTGGAACCAATTTGAAGTTATGTTTTTGACCTATAAAACCTTCTCTAGCTTATGACCATGTTACCTGTCTCTGTGCAGTATATGATGTAGGTTTTTCTGTTTACAGCCTTCTAGGGGCATCCCAGCCATTTAAGGTAAGGTGATCAAGTAGCAGGGGAAGAATCTTTATAATGGTCATTCCTGTTGCTCTTGTTAGAGAATTCTACCTGATGACAAGAAAGGCGTTTTCTTTAAGCCACACACAAAAAAATATTGTACATACAGACAAGCTGCATCAGTGCAAAAATCAGTGCAACATTAAAGGCATTTATAACATTAGAGAGAAAGGAACAAAAGCAGCCCAGTCAGCTTTGCCAATGGTTAAAAAAGCTGGGAGTCTATCAATCATCCGGAACATCTATGTTTTGCTCACCCCTTACCTAAAGGATACTTGGTGGCTAACCTACTGTAAAGATAAAAGCTGAGCTGGCTAGATAGCTCAGTGGTTTAGGTACAGTGGGGTCTCTACTTAAGAACGTCCCTACTTAAGAACAATCCAACTTAAGAACAGCTCCATTTGCTAAATTTTGCTTCTACTTGAGAACAGAAATCCAAGATAAGAACAGGAAAAAAAAACCTTTCCTGCTCTTTTTTTAACCTTAGGTCATCTTAGGTTAAAAAAAAATTCTCCCCCTAGTGGTAGAGTACGCATTAACCAGCTTTGCATTAGTTCCTATGGGAACTAATGCTTCAATGTACGAACGCACCTCTACATAACAAAAAAACAGCCAGAACGGATTAATTGGTTTTCAGTCCATTCCTATGGGAAATTTTGTTTCAACTTAAGAACGTTTCAACTTAAGAACACCATTCCAAAACAGATTAAGTTCTTAAGTAGAGGTTCCACTGTAGTTTCTATGGACGGAAAAGAGCAGATACGGATTAAATGGTTTTCAATGCATTCCTATGGGAAATGCAGATTCAACATAAGAACTTTTCAACTTGAGAACCACCTTCCAATACGGATTAAGTTCTTAAGTAGAGACCCCACTGTATATCTGGCTGTGGAACCAGAGATTGGGGGTTCAATTCCCCATTGTGCCCCCTGCAGATACAGCCAGCCTGTGTGGCCTTTGGCAAA